CATAAAAATCCAATAACTACCATTGTATCTAAGTTTAAATAACTCTTACAAATCTATGGAAAATGTCAATCCCAATTTAAAAAATGGGCAATATATACAGGAAATTTTCAGAATGAGAAAAGACCAAAGGTTAACATGCATATAAAGACATGCTCAAACACAGAGCAAATTAAAATAAAAATATTGTGCCATTTCAGCCTAACATACGCTGACAAACTAAGAAAGCACACACATACTTCATGACACTGCAATTCCACCCCTAGGTATATGTCCCAGAGAAATTTCCACACAGGTCCATAAGGGGGCACATATGATGTTCACCGCAGTGTTATTTTTAGTGGCAAGAAGTTCAAGCTGTATAGGTTAGGCATTAATTACTGAGTAATTAAAACATGGAGAATGCACCTGAGTACTATGTATATATTAGAGCAGGGGAACAAATGTTCACATGGCAACAATAAGATATAGAGTTAAATGCTATTTAGATATATTTGAAAAATGCATGCACAAAAATAATGCATAATTTGCAAAAAGTTATATAAACAAAAATACATGATAAACACATTCCCTAAGAGAAGAGGAAAATAGGAATGGAGAAAGGGGAGAGGTGAGAACAATCATCTTCTAATATAGGGCATGTTTTACTTATGTTTATTGTATATTATATCTTCACTATTCTGTAAACTTCATGAGGTGCCTTCACTATTTACTCTTATATCCCAAGCACCAAGAATGCCTAGCACATAATAAGTACTCAAATTTTGTTGAATCAATATATCAAGAAAAGAGTTGTATGTGGACTGTGATGATACCTGAAAAATAAAGAAACAAAAACACAAGAAATGGTGAACAAAGACCAAGATTAGAGGAATACAGTCAATCTAAATGGAATAGTGAGTATGGATTACTTGAAACTGTAATGATTTCCCCTGGCACTAAATGCTAAGAGGCACCATACTGAGCTAGAATTTAGAAATATGATGTAAATTTCATAGTACCACATTCTTGGGTGTGTTTTGAAGACACAGCCCACACCTGTGGGATCCACTAATAAGCAACACACAATTTCAGATTCAAGTTACATACAAGTTATTATAAAGAAAGTATTTTTAAATATCAGTGTACCAAACTGTCTTTTCCCGTGTCAGACTCAGATTATCAGAATATTAAAATTGTGGATAATTAACTTGATCTGACACAGCAATGTGTCCTGCTAGGAAAAGCTAAATAAAAATTAATTAACTTTCGGGTGGCACCTGTGGCTCAGTGGGTAAGGCGCCAGACCCATATACCGAGGGTGGCAGCTTTGAACCCAGCCCTGGCCAGCTAAAACAGCAGTGACAATTTGCAACCAAAAATTAGTCAGGTGTTGTGGTGGGCACCTGTAGTTCCAGTTACTCAGGAGGCTGAGGCAAGAGACTCCTTTAAGCCCAAGAGTTGGAGGGTGCTATGAGCTGTGATGCCATAGCATGCTACTGAGGGCAAGTGAAACTCTGTCTAAAAAAAAAAAAAAAAAAGAAACTAATCAACTTTTCAGCCACATTAATATATAAAAGAAATGGCAAAATTATATATGCTATACTGGAAATACATACCTTTTTGCAACTGCTAAATTACTGACTAGAAAATAACAGGACAGAATAAATGTCATCTTTCCTTACAGATCAGTAATTTTGTTATTTCAGATTAATATGAGGGTACAGGTGTTTAGGTTACATTGTTTTCATTCCTAAGGTAAAGTTCAAGCTATAATTGAACCCTTCACTCAAGGAGCATGAATTTTAGTGTAAGTCATATTGATAACCTAGACCCATTTTTCCTTCTCCCAAACATTTCAAAACAACCGTGGCTTTATTGCCACATGATATTTCCACTTCAGCAAACTGCTCCTTATGTAGTTCCCATAGTAACAAGTTTCATGTGTCTGCCAATTTTGAAATATTATCAGATGCATTTTTATCTCTTATAGGTCTTGTTTCATTCCAGCTGCCCTCTCACTAAATGAATGACATTTATTCCTTCAGGGAAGTGTGAATAACACCTAAAACAAAGGGGTCATTAATCAGCTCTTGAGTTTTACAGTTGAACTCTGTTATCAAGAAAAGTGTCTTCAGAATAAGCTTTGTTGAGAAAAGGGATTTCCAAACTCTTTAAATAACAGCCTCAAGCATGGAGGCCTGAAGATAAAATTTTTGGCTACAGTACAGTTATAGGTAGTGGGAGTGCAGTATTTGATGTGAGAGAAATGCCCACCCAACATGAACCAAAAAAGGAAGGTTCTTCTTGTATTTCTGGGAGAAAAGAATGAGGACAGAAAAAAAAAAAAAGAAAGAAGATGAACTAGACATTATTACTGTAAAGAATGGGCCACCACTAGCAGCATTAGCATTACCTGAAAGCTTGTTAAAAATGCATGATCTTAGGCCCTAGGTCAGCTCAATGAATGAGTCTGTGTATTAATAGGATTCCAAAATAGTTCATATTCACATTAAAGTGTGAGATTCACCGAACTAAACCACAAGCAGCCTTTGGGGGAGAGACACTTCCTCCATTATAAAAGAGGGACAAGGTGAGTTTATATGTAGGTAGTTTTTTTTTTTTAATTAAATCATAGCTGTGTACATTAATACTATCATGGGGTACAGTGTGTTGTTTCTATATACAGTTTGAAATACTTTCATCCATCTGGTTAACATAGCCTTCATGTGATTTTCTTAGTTATTGTATTAAGACATTTATATTCTATATTTAGAAAGACTCACACATACCCCCATAGGATAGACGTGATCCCACCAATCGCATTCCCTCTACCCATCCTCCCCCCTCTCCTTCCCTCCCTCTGCCCTTTCCCTGTATTCTTGGGCTAAAATTGTGTTATAGCTTTCCTATGAAAGCTATAAGTTAGTTTCATAATAGAGTTGAGTATGTTGGATACTTTTTCTTCCATTCTAGAGATACTTTGCTAAGAAGAATATGTTCCAGCTCCATCCATGTAAACATGAAAGAGGTAAAGTCTCCATCTTTCTTTATGGCTGCATAGTATTCCATGGTGTACATATACCACAATTTATTGATCCATAAATTGGATCATATACCACAATTTATGAATCCATAAATTGGATCATAAATTGGTTGATGGGCACTTGGACTTCTGCCATGACCTAGCAATTATGAATTGGGCTGCAATGAACATTTTGATACAAATATCTTCATTGTAGTGTGCTTTTTGGTCTTCTGGATATATACCTAGTAGAGGAATTATAGGATCAAATGGCAGGTCTAATTTTTGTTTTCTAAGTGTTCTCCAGATGACTTTCCAAAAGAGATGTATTAGTTTGCAATCCCACCAGCAGTGTAGAAGTGTTCCCTTTTTTCCACAACCACGCCAGCAACTATGATTTTGGGATTTTTATGATATGGCCTAACCTTACTGGTGTTAGATGATATCTCAAAGTAGTTTTGATTTGCATTTCTCTGATGATTAAGAATGGTGAGCATTTTTTTATATATCTGTAGGCCATTAGCCTGTCTTCTTCAGACAAGTTTCTCTTCAAGTCCCTTGCCCACCTTGAGATGGGATCACTTGTTCTCTTCTTGGTAATAGATCTGAGTTCTCTGTGGATTCTGGTTATTAAACCTTTGTCGGAGACATAACCAGTTTTGGTGGCAGAAAATGATCAAGACTCAGTCTCATGGTTTCTGTCTTTTTTTTTTTTTTTTTTTTTTGCAGTTTTTGGTTGGTGCTGGGTTTGAACCCGCCACCTCTGGCATATGAGGCTGGCGCCCTATTCATTGAGCCACAGGCACTGCCCAGTTTCTGTCTTTAAAATTTTTTCATTTTCTTAGCAACAATATTTGTGTAAGTTTTATCATTTATTTGTTCACAAGATTTTACTTGGTTTCATCCTCTACATTAGGGTCTCTTTTTGGCACAAAAATTTGTTTGTTTCCTTAACTTCAGAAATCTTGACTTTTGGAAGATTCGTTCAAATAAAATTAACTGAATTATTTTAAAGGGCAGTAACTTTCTTGCTATGGATAACAAAGGGCATTTCTTTTAAAATGGCAAACCTTATTGGGACTAAAATCTGATGTAAAAACCAAGAAGAAAGAAGATACTAATGAATATGAAACAAGAATATTTTTCCTAAAGTCTGCTGGAAAGTATTAAGTATAAATTAAATCTATAAAAACCAGATGCTATGTGGTAGGCCCTCTGCTAGACAATTTAGATAAAAATGTGAATGAGACAGCCTCCATAATATGCTGTGATATGCAGAGCTAGCATTATGGGAGTGAGACTTGTACTGTTACACAGGCCTTGAATTTGGTTTTAATGCTCCATGTTGCAGTGTTGAAATTCTCAATAACTTTCTTTTAACTTGTAAGTAAAGTGCAAATACATGAATTTTTAAGTGAAGCCTATAGAAGAATGGACCATACATGTGAGCAGTGGAGATAAGAACAAGAAACAAAAAAAGCATTCTATTTTAGAACCTTTAATGGGCCTTTCCTGCTTTTTGGACAAGAGGCCCTACATTTTTTTATATCTTGTACTGGAGTGGGCCAATTATGTAGCTGGGCCTGCTGACAGTCAAATACAACTATGTGCTAAACACTGTGCTAGGAACGAGAAAGGAGTGATTGGCAATAAAAAGTTCTATGATGATTTCACAGGAAAAACAATACATAAATTCTGCTCTGAGGAACAAACACGAGTTTACCAGATAACAAAGGTACTCCAGAAAAGAGAAGTTGGGAAAGAAACAGCATTCTTATATAAATGTGGAGACTTTACGTCTACATTTATTTTCTCTCAGCTAAGAAAAAAAAAAAAAACTTCCCAGAGGTCTTTACAAATATAATGGTCTTTATAAAGTTGTATTTCCTTGACTCCTAGGCACAAATTACTTGTTGGGGAAGCTCACCTTCTAGCAAAGCAAATTTTGGATAAGAAATGTACAGAGATGAACAAACACGCCTTTGGTTTAAATTTTTACCTGTGATTCTGCCTTTCCCCAGGGTTACGGGGCTCTCAAACTGGTGGGAGGTAAAGGTTTCCACCACCGCCAAGGGCTTGGAAATTAGCTGTGGGAAAGGGATTTCTTCCTCCAAATGGAACTGGCTCCAGTTATCACGGCCACAGAGTTTTACTATTTCTTCCATCAGGTGCCTGCCGCACAGTTTCCTGGCTCTACTGCTGTCATTCAGTTCATGGGAGAACCGAGCCAGCAGTACCCCGAGCCACAGCAGACATAAGGAAAGGAGCCGAGGCATCCCTAGGACCCAGCCGGGCCCTCCTACTGCACAACGGCTGGGTGGCGCCCTGTCCCGCTCTGCGCCTGCGCCTGCGCCTGACCGGAAGTGTTCCTGGTGTGGTGTGCACCGTGCAGCGTTCCGAGCATGCCCACCGCCCTGGCGAGAAAGTTCAGGCTAAGGCAGCTGTACTCGGGCCTGAACGTTCCCATCCCCTTTGGGATCTCGGGTGGTCAAAGGTAAGAGACTCTGGCTTCCAAAATTAGAGCCACCATTTGTTCATCTTGCCTTCCCCACTGGGAGACTCATCAGATGAAGTATGAGAACATATTGCCCGTGTAAAACGGTAATGTAGGCATAAGATGTTGCTCCTTCTGTGTGAATGCAGCCCCCACTGTTTTTGCTTGGTGGTTAACGAGGCATCTCTTCCCTCAGAGAAACCTCTCACCTCCCTCATGGTGTATATATTAATAAATCTGTTTGCATGTGTGGACTTGCTTTATAACCTTTCCCCATATCAGCAAGCTGATGGGAGATACATACACGATGGCAGATCCTGTCTCTGTTCTTGCTTTCCATTGTATCCCAGGGCCTGGTACATAGTTGGCAATCAAATATGTGTTGAAATATGGATGTGTTGGAGTATGTGGGTGTGTGTCTTAAACCCTGGTTAAAAGCTGTTTCAGAAAAATCCTTTTAGCCCACAGGGAGGCCTAAGCCTTAGCCTCAACAGACAGGTAGGGATGCTGTCTTGAGATGCCTGGGATGGATAGCTGGTTCTCTCTATTATAGAGGATTATCTATTGCCAAATGGTAACAAATTTGTGATAGAGTGCCGTATAGGATTTGCTTCTAAGAACAACAGCATGAAGTGCAAGCAGTAGATGGGATGATTCTGCTCAGTTAGGAGAGTTGGGGCAGGAAAATGAAGCACAATCCATGTAGGTAGCTTTATCATTTAAATTTTTTGTAATAATAAAATGGGTTGTCTTGGTAGAATGCCCCAGTCATAGGGCATTCCAGGCTGTCGAGGAGAAGCAGTCAACTTTAGGCTGCCAAAACCACAGATGCCAATGTGTCAGTGATCTTCTCATCATTTACTTTACAATGTTATTTTTTTCTCCCTCTCTTCTGTCTTCTGCCTCTTTTTCTTCATTTTTGCATCCCTGCAGCTTTGCCCTGCTTCTAAGTCGCATCCATGAGTGCTGTTAAATTAACTGGCAATTGAAATCTTTTAAAGGTTGTTGTAATATAATTAGCCCAATTTCTTCACCTTCCTTGAATAACTTATGTCTGAACAATTGTGAGCCATGTGTCTGAGTCAGATCTTTGACAGGTAAAGCCTGTGGGAGTAGAAAACATTCATTATACTCACAGGAAGATAAAAATAAAACAAAGCAACTCTTCAGCAATATGTGTCAGAACTTGGCAAATTAGATTTTGACTCCTGTTCTCTTTGTAGTTTCTATATCTTCATCTGGCTTTGTATTTCACTATCTCATTCATTACACAATGACATAGTATATATTTACTGTCTCTCCTACTAGAGTGTAAACTCCATGCAGACAAGACCTTTTATCTATTTTTTTTTTTTTTTTACTTTGCTGTTCATTTTGTCTTGAATAGTGGCATGTGGCAGCACATAGTGAGTTCTCAATAATTTAGTGCTGATAGTTGTAAGAATATAATCAAATAATAAGTGAAATGTTAATGTCAATAACCATGCAATATTTGGTGAATTAATGAATAAATGAATAAACTCCCAGAGAATTTACTTCCTTTGTAGCCTATTCATACTTCTGTCATAATTACAGTTGTTTATGCATGATGGTAAATTTTTAAAAAATCATGTAAAACTTGGAGAAAGGCAAGATAGCTAACTAGAGACATTAGTTACCAGATCATCCCAGGAAGAAAAGTGCCAGGTTAAAAAGTACAGCTAAGGTGGAATACTGAGGGAAACATGCCATAATCTGCCAGAGACCCCACAGAATGGAGTTAAGGACCAGAATAAGAAGGAGCAAGATTTTGGCAAAGATCTATCCCTAAGGAATTTGGAGTACTCCAGAAAGTATAGATGGGGGTGTTTATTTTTTTCTCCCCTTAGATCTGTAGCACATTTCTGCCTCCCAGACTGTCAGAGAGCTCTCCTACCCTCATGAGCCCAAATGCTGCTGCCATTAGCACTTACAAACAGAGCACTGGGCTGCCAGCCTGCACAAGGTTGCTTCCCCTCACCACAGGCACAACTCAAGGTGGCAGGCGTCATACTTCTTATGTACTCCTGCCGAGGGAATCTCAGCCCTTCAGGCTTCTTACCATTGGATTCCACACAAACATTTCCTAGCACCCACTCAGGGTGTTCCAGACAGATACAAGAGAGCTGCAGGATTCCCAGAGTGCTGACTCTGTCCTGCCTCTACAAGACAGACAAAAGCTGTTAAAGAGTTGTAAGCCACAGTACCTTCTGGACAAAGGAAAGGAGAATGTGTTCTTTTCTTTGCGTGAGAGCCCCTGGCTTATTATCTGAAGTTGTCTGTATCCCTCTCAGTGGAGATGTGGGTACAAAGTAGAATCAATAGGATAGGAGAGTATTTCCACCTCAGGACAAAAGCAGCACCTGAACCCAGGAAGGGATGTGGAGATAGGGACTTCCCCTCCCCCGACTACCTTTTGCTAAGGACATAGCCATATCTGTTTGCTTCCACAAGGGTTTGGAAGTATAGAAACAACTGACTTCATTTGGGCATAATAATTGAGTTTTCTCTGTTGTCAGTTCAGATTGATTTCAAATAATATTTCACTAAGACCAAAAAACCTTCACAGTAAAGTAAAAATGTTTGCAGTTTCATGTTCACAAAGTGTATGTTGACAAGATCAATTAAAAAAATTTATCACTGTTATAAGTTCCTGGTATCACTTACATATAAAAAAGTTATTATGTTGGTTAAAGTGACAAAGCTTTTGTAATCATTATAAAGTTAATAAAATTCAAAAGCAATTGATGTAACTGTATGTATGTACTATCAATTAAAAAGACAGAGACTTTTGTGCAAGTCCCATATGCTGGAGGTGGTGGGTTCAGACCCAGCCCCGGCCAAAAATAGCAAAAAAAAAAAAAAAAAAGAAAAGAAAGATAGAGACTTTTCTAGCAGAAGAATGATTAATTTTTAAGAGATAGTACAATTGTAGAGAAGTTATATGATTACAGAGCAAGTGAAAAGTGTGTACACTAATCATGATTTCTAATGTTCTAATAATCAGTGGTGACTGAATTGAACATCAGTGAATGTGTCATGGAGAATAGGGAGGAAGATGGGTAAGACACCTAAAATCATCCTACTTTAAGAAAAGTTTCTTTGTCACAATCCCTCATGATAAAATTTAGCAACATCATCAGTTTCATTTTTCTTTATCAAGAAATAGTACCTACCTCAGTGATGGTGGCCCCTCAGAAAGTATTGCCTTCTGCTCCTGTGACAATTTAAGAATGATTTCCAGAATCATATCGAAGGTTCCTGCACCTTTGTTGATGACACCAGTTTTACTAAGTCAAAAAAGGTATGGGAGGTAAGGGAAAATGTTCATGTCAACGAGGATCTGAAAAATTATCAAATTTGCCTAGAACATAATGTAACCATTACTACAATATAATTAAACACTAAAACAAAATCAAAAGTATCCTGAAATCTACACAACTGACTACTTAGAGTTGGGCACCTTGAGGTACTAACAAGGATTGTTAGACTCCACTATCTCCTCTGTGGACTCTTCCCATGACTTTCTAAATGCTTGTGCCATGGCACATTGACTCCCTCAAACTCTTCCAATTGCAATATGTACTAGTTGACAATAGGAGCATTTCTTTAATATTCATATTTTTCCAATAGAAAAATTCACTATTTAAATCAATAATTACATAAATCTGTACATATGTATCTATGGGTATGCCAAACTTAATATTGATTTTCTGACTTTTCATTTTTCTTACTAAATTTTATTTTTTCACAGTCTTTAAATGAGCATTTTCACTAATTTATTTAGAAAAAGAGGGAAATTTAAATACAAGTTATGGGACAATCTGTTCTTCCTGAGTTTGCATTAGACGTTTTTTGGACTCGGTGTTATTCTTCCCTTATTTTATAGTAAAACAAAGCCAACTTTAACCAGTAATGTAGGAAAAGTAAATAAATTTGATATCATACTGTGAATCCCATAAAATGGAAGCAAGTGCTTTTACAGTATACAGTGACTTTATGGGGGAGGTGTTCATTTAAGGATTTAATCTGGTATATGTGTATAGATTATAAGAGGTAATTTTGGACTCAAATACTGCCTATTCAAAACTTGTCCTTTGTATTAAAAGTAAAACAATGACTGGTGATTTACACTGGCTTTTCAGAGTTAAGATGAGCCATTAGGCTGAATAGAATAACTTCTATCTCTTTTGGAAGCTGCTGTTGCTAATTTTAACTTAGATTGCAATTTATTTTTATTGTACTATATGACTTGGAAAGTTGAAAAACCATTCTAGAATTGAACTGTCCACTAATCTGAAATCTTGCTTTTAAGAAAATACATTGCATCTTCAAATGTTGAATGCCTTATTCAGATCTTCTCTTGTTTGTGGTTCCCTTCCAATTCCCCTCTCACACCCAGGCACTCTTCTTGCTCTTTTATCTTTTCTCTCAATACACTATAAGACCAGACATGGGATGCAAGAAAGACATGGGATGCCAGGTGCTTTCCTTGGGGTGTATTAAAATAATTTTGAAAAGAGGATGTTGCCAATACGTGGACCATAAGTCCGGCTTAATGACAAAGAAAGTCATTAAACCTAAGTCCCTTCCAATTTCCCATTCCAATGTTGTGAATTGAAATCAACATACTCTCACACCAAGAGTATAGAGAAAGGAATTTGACTAGCTGGTGGGGACTCAGTAGGCTACAAGCCTGAAAGCACTGAGCCCCGCTCCCCAGTCCTTTTCACAAAGCTCTTTTATACTATTCTAATAAGACCT